GAGGATCACAAACAAGGTGTGAATAACCATGCAAATGTGCTTGGTACACTTAATGTTACAAATCACCTAATCAGTGTGTCGTTAACCACACACGCTCCATTGATCCATGATTAACATCAAGCTACCCTTTGCAACACATTGTTAGTCCCAAATTAGTGTGACGGTTAACCACACATGCACCACTAACGACTTAACAAGGTGCAAAGTGCAATTTCATGGAATAGCACCATTTTCACATTTTCCCTAAAGTAACTAAGATTGGGAATTTATAAAAGTTTAGTTACTTAAATAATTATCATTATACTTATTAATAAGAATAAATGTCCTATCCTACCCGTACGGCTAACGACCCTCCACCAGTCAAGGAAGAGGTGGGTGAGAGTAGACACCCATTAAACCACCATTTTATAGGCCGTGACCTTATACCCCCTTATAGACCGGCTTCGTGAATGAGGCCTACTAACGGTAAGACTGACTTGTCTTATACATATATATAAGTATTAAACTTTAATATTATAATAGTATAGGGTTGAATTTTAAACTTTTAAAATTCTAGGGTTTAGAATTAAAGTTTCATAAATAAGACTCTTCAAGTTCCAAAACTTGAGGACAAGTTTTGTAACTTGTCAAAACTTTTGAATTCCATAACATATGGATTTTAAAGTTCCATGAATGATACCTTTCAAATTCCAAACTTAAGTACAACTTATGAAACCTTTCAAGATCCCTTGAATTTAATAACTTACAATAGTTAATGGTTTCATAAATAAAGACCTTTTATGTTCCATAACTTGAGGACAAGTTATGGAACTTTTCAAGAGACACATAGATCAAATTAAACTAATCCAATTATCTTATAATTCATCATTTACCAATTTGACCTAGTTCACATTGTAGGTAGTTTCAAATTTTACCAATAATTAGTTTTTCACAAAATCAAGTAATTATCTTAAAATTTTTAAAACTTCATGTTTTGGATGGGGATATAACATTACCATATTAGTAAAATCAAATTTGATGAACCAAAACAGTTTGTGGTAATGATCCTAATCCAAAACAGGCCAAAAACTCACAAATCATGCCACCAGATGAGCCAAATCGTCGAGCCAAGCTTTGGACTTGTCGACTTCACGGCAAAACTCATGCAACTCATCGAGTCCATATATGTACTCGCCGAGTTCATCGGACAGTGGCCAGAAAAGTCATTTTTCCAACTTTAAAAATGACACATTTGCATCAATATAATAGAAAACACCCTAGGCTCTGATACCACGGTTGGGTTTAATGTACTCTAACATTCCTATGGTGCACATACAACCCTAATGCTTTGGATCTAAGTTTTCTCTAATTATACATGCAACATTGATATTCAAAGCATGGAGCCAAAACTAGCTTACAAAATTTAACATATGAATCATAAAATTTGTTAGAAGGTTACCTCTTGATGTAGCTAGTAAGAATTTGGCTTTGTGAGAACTTAGCACCCCAAGTTTTGTGCCTCAAACAAGTCACACCTACTAATAAACAACTAAATGGATATGAGAGAGGCTAAGGAGACTCAAAATCGACTTCTCTTCTTGGATTGCAAGTAGTGGTCCGATTTTAGGGCTTAGGATGACATATTTATATGTGTATAAAACCAAGAGTCATGTGAAACCCTAATCCACACATATAAGCTTATGATCCATGAATTTGATTTGGACTAACACTTCATCGACTATCCATAAGCTTAACCCATCACAAATCAATTATGGATCATTAGCCTAACCCATATGTATCAATTTTAATTAGTCTCTTTTGATCACTGAATTAATTCTTGAATAATACTAATTAAATAATATGATTCCTCAATTAATATATTGTACTTATAATATATAATACATCATAAATAACCTCTTACTCAAATATCCATCTAACAAATTGTTCTGGTGAAGGCAAACCGAAATGGACCATGCTACTATCGGGTTAAGTATATACTAATTATAGTTATGGGCTTAGACACCTACTCCAATAGTCTTAATATGAACAAAAGTAGAAACTTTCTAGTTCCCAAGTTCCTTTATTCACTGAATGAGAGTTGGGAATATTATGTATAAGTTTTGAAGAACAGTGAGAAGAACGTAACAATGGATTTGGCTTCCCTATTTGGTGATCTTCGTAATCATGAAGAAACGAAGATTTTAAACAAACAAATCATGCAAGATACTCATAGGGATAAATCTGTTGCTCCATACTCCAAGAAGTCTCCTTAAAACATCGTCAACGACTTCTCCAATGAATTCCGAAGGTGAAGCCTTGATAGTTAAATGCTACATTAACAGGAATGATAAGAATCCATCTAGGTTTAAATGGTATCAATCATAGACGGACTTATCAACGTCCAAAGACTTATCTATTTTCTTATTTTTTCTAGTACCATATCACACGAATTGCTAGTGAATCCTTTGATTCTAGTCTGAAACTGTAACCATAAATCTGTGATGCTAGAAGTTTAACCACTTCTTATTGATGAGTTAAGTTGTTCATGATTCATACTGATAGCACCTTAGTGTGATTGAGATATTCAATTATCTTACACTATGTATTATATTATAGAACATAGCAATTCATTGTGTGTCACACCCCCAAACCAGAACGAAAGAAACATTCGGAGGCGGAGGACGTCATGTAGAGTATCACACTGCATTAATAATATAATCCAATACAAGTGTGTTCTGTATAGTTTATAAGACACCAAAATATGAATCAAAATAAAAGACGAGTCTTGAACGCTCCGTCTTCTCAAAACCTGGTCATCGGTACCTGTCTACTGGTGACCTGAGAATACAAGTTATTTTGAAAGCGTAGATCAGCATTAAAGCTGGTGAGTTCATAACTATTTAATGTCATTGTTTGTATAAGTTTGATGAAAGTGTTTGTAAATGTTTGATGTAAAAGTTTGTAAGTGTTTGTTGTAAATGTTTGAATACTTCCTAGAAAATCCTAGAGTTTCTACTAAAGTAGCCTTCTACCTAGACTCGACTGTTTTGTAAGTTTTTTCTTTTGTAAAAGTGAGTGTTTTTCCCAAGTATGACTATCATTACCAAAATGTAGTTTGCATTACCGTTTATGTGAGAATATCACAGTATAAATGTAATGGGAAAAATGACGATGTACAATAGTATTGTTTATAAGTAACTACAGATGTACTAACTACCTTAAACATGTTTGTTTAATTAAGGTAAAATGTGATGAGATTATAACCATACTTGATTGACTAGTAAAACACGACGTTAGAGACGTCGAAAGGGTATAACATTCGTCACCCGTAGACCTGTAGGTCCCACTGTAGCTAGCAACAAGGTGTATGATGGCCAATCCCATATAGATCTATACACAAATTCATGCTCTCCCTCCAGTAGACTCCAGTTACAAAACATGACACAACAGTATATTGTCGTGCCATGAAGTAGTGGCTCACATTAATGTTATCTTTCTTATTGTATTAGTGTAGTATGCTCTCTCTGTCCTAGTATATAGTATGTTCTCTCTATTCTAGTATATAGTATGTTCTCTATGTTTCTCATTATAGTATGTTTGAACTGACTCATGTATGAACTGAATCTTGTAAGTTTCACTGTTCTAGAGATAGTAAGTAGTGACTTCCTAAACTATACCTATTATAGTTTACTAGTAATGTTGTTTGAATGACTGATTATGTTTGAACACCTTTGCTACCCAAAGGTACTGAACTGAACGAAGGAACTTTTATATGTTAGAACACCTTTGGTCCCCCATAAAAGCATTTAAAATCATTTAAAAGATAAGTTAGCTGTATGAACTCACATGTAGTGAGTGATACGAATGTAAGTTCGATATAGGATGCTAAGTGTCAAGTGAAGCCTAGAGCAAGAACGGATCCTATTAAGCATATAATGACACATATATGTATATAATTAGTGTATATACAACTAATCATGCAAGGAAACCACCTTAGGGACTAGGAAACACTTAGATTGAAGTGTTACAATCACATATGATTGCATCAAAGGGGTTTACGGCCACACAAGGGTGTGTACGGCCAAGATGTGTACGGCCAATGTGGTGTACGGCCAATGGAGTGTACGGTCGTACACTCATGGAAGAAGCATGCAAAAAGTGGTGTATGGCCCTATCTAGCATCCATTAAGTGTTTATGATCTTATGTTGGGACATGAGGTGAGTTTGAGGCCAAAACATGCACTAGGCTTAGAACACTCACACAGACCATAAAGAATGCTAAAAGATAGCAGAAACGAGTCTAACTTTGATTGAATTGAATGGTTGTACAAGATAGAAATTTCGGGTTGTCACATTGTGCAATACCACACACTCATAAAAGTAAGAAATTTTGTGTAGATGGTTAAACTATGTACCATAGTTTATCACACACACCAACCCTTTATTGCCCTTAATTTCGTGTCAATGGGTATATCATGTACCGCGATACATTACATGCATCTACCCATTCTTACCCTACAAAGTTTATATTCAAGGAATTAATGACTCACTTTATTAGCCATACATTAACAAAATTTTGACACTCTATGCCGGCGGATGTATTTTGTATCAGAATATATTACACGCTGTCATACCATTCTTACCTTTCTCTTTTAATTAAAGTACTAAATGATTCAGCGTATAAAACCATACATTAATGAGACTTCGCAAGATTGTGTACATGATCTACTATTGCAAACACCACAATAGTGTGATATACCCTATCTCACCCATTGTTCCGTTGCACTATTTTTGTGTTGATTATGACCCTATTGTTGTGATGTTCAATATCTTTTGTTTGGGGGAAGCCTCCTATTGGTGTGAAGATTATCTTAATAATCGCTAACTTTTTAAATTTGGGAATAAACACCTTCTTTTGATATCTACGAGATTTGAGGCGAATGTTTCTCACTCCTATGATTACCTCTGAACAACGTATCTCTGGGGTATATATGTAAGACTAACATCTTCACAATCACCTCATGCTCTCAATAATCATCAAAATCTCTCGATCGCTCATCTACTCAAGAACCCTAATCGCAATGCCTCCTCCTACAATCATCTACACTTATGTGCCTACATTAAATGTCGTCATAGCTGCTAGATCTCTAGATACTCCAATCATGATCATGGCCAAAAATGAGGCATTCTCTTTTGAAATCCCTATAAGGTTTCCGAACAAGGTTTTTGAAGGTTTCGTAGATTATCTTATAAAATATCTACTTAGCTACGATCTTGTTGATATTGTTGATTCGTTTCTTCCTCGACATGTTTGTGACTTTTACTATACTTCTACTTACTATGATGTTGGATTTATTATTGGTACAATAGGAGATGGAGCGAATACTATCTTGGTGACTGTGAATGATGTTCGAAGGGGATTACGCCTTCCAATTAAGGATGAATACTTTCCTACTCCCTCCTAGAGATATGTCGTGCTGTTATTGAAAATGTCTTACTCACAAGACAATGAGTCTTGATCAGATGAACCTTTTTGAACAATGTATCATGTTCTCTATCATCAAGAATAAACTTTTGGAGTTTGCTCAAGTTATTTTTTTTCAAATGGCTGAAATTATTAGAGGAACTAAAAGATCCGCTCATGTCCCATATCCTAGATGGGTTGCATTAATTCTTCAATATTTTTTTGTTGGTTATGATGTTGATCAAGCTGATGACTGGGCTCATTCTTTGACCTCGATGAAATTGTTCAATCAAATTCCTGAAGATGAATGGAGCATTACAAAGGGTATGCAAATATGGATTGACAATCCTTTTCAGTGTTGAAAACTTCCGTATGTTGTCCCAACAATTCCATTAGAGGAAGATGAAGAAGAAGAACAAGAGGATCAAACATCTGATTCAGAAAAACAAAACCAGAGTGACTCCGAGAGTAATTCTCAATGTGATGAAGACACTGGTACTGAAGATGAGGATTTAGATGTTGGCTGAGATTCTGAATACAACAGTGAGGATACAGAGATGATTCCAATCAATCACGGTCATGAAGTTCGAGTTCATGATTTCAATGAGACGAAATCTAGTCATCGAAATAAGCATATTTGTTTCGAGTCTTCTCTATCACTGGAAGAAAAAGAAGAAAATATTATTCCTGAGATTCCTCCACCTCAACACAATGATGACGCTTCCACTGATCATGGTCGAGGTAATTCACCTCCTGATCATGTTCGAATATCACTATTTTGTACCCATGATGCTCACGAAGTAGAGTGTGATTGAAGGGCCAATATATTTGGTTTGGGCTAGGCATTGATGCTTGGATGGGATAGGGTTGTTATTAATGTGTTTTGGACATCTTTTATGTTTATTTGAGTTTTCGCTCTAGACAGGTTTTCGGTCAGGCCTTGACCGAAAACCTGTTTTCGGTCAGATGTATGTTGGTATAAATAGCTGTCAGGTTGTTAGAGTTGGGGTTGATCACTCCTAGAAGGTTCAGTTAGTTTTCGGTCAGTCCAAGTTGTATTCGACACTTCATTGATTGAATTGTATGCAAGCTTGGTGTTTAATTCTCTTCTTCTTCATTTCTATCATATTTGATTGATCATTAGTTAGATTCCACTGATTTGGGACCTAACAATTGGTATCAGAGCACAAGCTAGTGTCAATTAATCGTGTTTTTTGTTTTCAGTTCATCAACAATTCGTGATCTTCATTTTCGGTCAATTAACAAGTTTGAATCTGCTCTAGTTTGAAGATTGGATCATTGTTTACTTCATCAAAATCAAAATCTGCATCAGATTTGAGCTTGTGGTGGAACTCTTATAAGTTTTCGGTTGTATCTACACACACCGAAAACTCATTGTCACGTTTATTTTGTTCAGATCTGCATATCTGGGAGTAGTTTTGGAAGTTTTGGTTGTGCGAAAAATAGAAATCAGATCAAGAATCAAATTTCTTTTTGATAAATCTTTAGTTTTCGGCTCATCTTCAGAAACCGAAAACTAGTCTTTGTTCACTCTTCAGAAACCGAAAATCAAAGCATCTTCAGAAACCGAAAACCCTTCATCAATCTTTAGAAACCGAAATCATTTGAATCCCCTTACACCGAAAACCTACTTGATCCTCATTTTCGGTCTAACTTTCCCACCGAAAACCTTTCCTTTAGTTATTTTTGTTGCTTTTTCAATTTAATTTTCTTTAAAATTAAAAAAAAAACAAAAAAAAAACAAAATCAACAAAAACAAAAACAAAAACACAAAAACGAGACAAATGGATTCTCAAAGCATGACAGCACATCAGGAACTTGACACCATCATGGGAACAACTTCTCGGATTCCCCGACTCTTAAATGCCGAAGGCTTTCCAGAATGGAAATACCGGATCGAGAAGTATATTAAAATGAAAGACTTCAAGATTTGGCGCAGTATACTTAGGGGACCAATTCGAATTACTACTATTGTGGATGACACAATTGTCGACAAACGGGTTGAAAATTATACGGATGAGGATTTCGAAAAGGTCGAGGAGCAGGAGAAAACTCTTGCTACGCTTACAATGGCATTATCTCCAGAAATTGCTCAGGGTTTCCGTCAGTATACGTCTGCGAAGGCACTTTGGGAAGCATTGATAGAAGTTTATGAGGGTAATGAGGATATGAAGCAGAGTCGTCAGGACATGCTTCGACAAAAGTTCAACATGTTCAACCATGTCCTGGGTGAAACTCTTGAGAATCAGCTTCAGAGGTTTATAACTCTCACTACAGAAATGAGTTTTGCAGGTGTCTCAGTAACAAGATCGGAAATCAACAAGAAGCTGTTCAACTCTCTTCCAAAATCCTGGGATATGAATGTCTCAGTGATCAAGAAAACCAAAGACTTAAACAGGCTGAGTCTGGCAGAAACTATGGCTATCATCAAGGCTTGTGATCTTGATGACAAGCAAAGGGAGATTAATCATGTTAATTCTTATTCCACTGCAAATCTAAGGATCCAAGCCACAAACAACAATGCTTTTTCAAGTCTTTCTGTTGCGCAAGCTCCTCAAGTTACTCCTACTCCACAAGTCTCACAAGTTCAATCTTTCATGACTCATCAATCAATTCAACCTACATCCTATGTCATCCCTTCCATGCAGCAAGTTCAAGTTTCTCAAACTCAAATCATTCCTCAACAAGTTAATCCCAGTCTTTGCTCATCTAATGTTGTACCTCCTCAGTCTCATGGTTTAAGTTCTCAGATGTCAACCATGAAAGAAAAAGAAGAAAACATGGCTCTTGCCACGGGTTTGGTAAATTGCTACAATGCGTTTGTGGCTGGAGAACTCTCTCCACAATTTTTGTTTGCCAACCTTGATCAGATTCACCCTGAAGATGTAGAAGAGATGGATATAACTTGGCAAATGGCCATGGCAGTATTCAGGGCAAAGCAGTTTTCTAAGAAAACTGGCAAAAACAACTGGAGTGTGAATTCCGACAAAAAGGTTGGATTCAACAAAGGCAAGCTTCAATGCTACAATTGTCATGAGCCAGGGCACTTTGCTAGGGAATGTCCAAAGCCTGACAGAAGGGAAAATGCTGATCGAACCGTCGTGCCAGTTACCTATGTCCACAGCAACATCAGAGGATCTTCATCAACCAATCAACCTGCGAACCTGGCGATGGTGGCTCAATCCTTTGATTGGGAAGATCAAATTCAGGCCCTGAATATTTCACGACCTGAAAATGCTCATTTTGCCCAGATCAAGGATTGCAAGGAGAAAGAGACGGAGATAGATCCTGAAGAAGATATGATGAACCTTCAGTAAGCCCGAGGGACAGTCGCAGAGGAGTATCGCCAGACCTTGGTATGTCGATAGTGGCTGCTCCCGACACATGACAGGAGATATCTCCCAACTGCATGACATTCAAACATTTAATGGGGGCTATGTCTCCTTTGCGGGCGGTGAAAGTGGAAAAATAACACAGAGAGGAACAGTGTCGAACGGAGTGCTCAGTTTTGAAAATGTCAACTATGCTCCTGAATTGAAGCATAGTCTATTGAGCGTCTCTCAGATTTGCAACAAAGTGTACTCAACGCACTTTACCGACAAATAATGTCTTATTTTAAAGCCTGGCATTGTCATTCCGGAGGAGTGGATTCTTGTAAAATCTAAGCGATATGGGAATGCCTACATCATAGACATGAACAGCAATATCCCCAACGAAGTCACTTGCCTATTCTCCATAGTCTCAGAACAAAATGCGATGTTGTGGCATCGTCGTCTTGGTCACGCTAATGCAAAGAATCTGAATCGGCTTGCAAAGAACAAAATGGTCCGAGGTCTGCCTGTCAGAGATTTCATTAAGTTTGAAAAGTGTGTTTCCTATGCTCAAGGGAAACATCATCGGAAACCACACTTTCCAAAGCAGGTTAACTCCATCAGCCAAGTGCTCCAGCTGTTACATATGGATCTTTTTGGTCCGATTAATGTTCTCAGCATCAACCACAATTCATACTGACTCATTGTGATAGACGACTACTCTCGGTTCACTTGGGTTTTCTTTTTATCCAACAAAGCTGGGATCGCTGACCTTATCAAGAAGTTCATTATAATGATAGAGAATCAGACAAACAACCGAGTGAAAGCGCTGCGTACTGACAATGGAACGGAGTTCAAGAACGTTGTTCTTGACCACTTTTGCTCCGAGAAAGGGATTGTGCGTCAATTCAGTTCTGTTCGCACACCACAACAAAACGGTGTTGCTGAACGGAGGAATCGAACACTTAAAGACGCTGCAAGGACGATGCTGTGTGATTCCAAACTTCCTGTGTTATTTTTCGCGGAGGCGATTAACACGGCGTCCTACGTTCAGAATCGCGTGCTGATCAACAAAACTGTGACAACCGTCAAAATTCGAGTCGGTTCTAGATTTGACTAGACTTAGTTGCACATATAGGCACAACACATATTAGACTTAGTAATTAGAAGCTAAGTTATAACCTACTAGAAACTTGGAAACAATTAGAATCAATGGATAGTGTACTTAGATTTAACATTGATATGTGAATTCTACATCTACTGAGCTGTAGTGACTATCCATATTTGGGTCACTCTTTGACTCGAACAACATTTCATGAATCATATACACACACCATGCACTTGACCTAGAAGTAGAAGTTAGTTCAAAGTCTCATAGAAACTTAAGTCAAAGTTGAAGAGTAGGACTAGTATACTTGATTCCTCAATTTCGCTTGAATCTCGGAATCACTACATAGAATGCCAATAAACCGATAAAAATAAATTACAAACATTATTTATAACTATAAAAGAGTTATAATACCATAAGACTCTCAAAGATTCAATTTATTTTTATATTCAAAGTTTATTAAACTCCAAAACCCTAAAAGTCATAAAAACTCAAATTTATGAAGTTTTATATTAAAATCTTATAAAATTTTTTTATAAACACTATAATATCAAATTAATA